GAGAGATCATGCAGGAGGAAGAAGAAAGTCAACTGTGTCAAATGCTGTAGGACAGTAAAGAAGGATGAGGATTGACAAAAAGCCACCAGATCTGATGAGATCATTGGTAGATTGGGAAAGAGCAGTTTCAGTTGAATGATGGAGTTGGAAGCCTGATGGAGTTGGAAGCCTGATGGAGGTTTAGAAGAGAGTGGAGAGAGGGTTGGAGGCAACTAGTGTAAATAGCTTTTTCTAGGAGTTTGTAGAAGAAAGGGAGAAAGAGATATAGGATAATAGCTAGTGGAGATAGAAGGATCTAGTAAGGTTTTGTTTTCTTTTTAGGATGAGGGAAATGGATTTGTAGGTGTCAAAGAAACAACCAATAGATAAGACACTGAAGATTAGAGAGACTAAAGAAATGATAGTGGAAACCTGAGGGCCTTTTTTTCTTCAGACTAAATAAAAGAGGGGCTAATGGGGAGAAGTGTGAAGTGGTTATCATTGAGGATAAGATGAAGGTCACAGTTAATGACTTCAGTTTTAGTAAAGTATGCAGTATGATCCCTAACTGGAAGACTTTGGAGAGAAGAGTGCTTTGAGAGTTTTGAGGAGGTATGAGAAAGTTTGGAACTGCCACTATGGTGAATGAGATAATGAATCAGTTATGGAGGAATAAAATTATTGTGTCACTGCAGGGAGGATGAAGTTGAGATTAAATAACATGAATTTCTAGGAGACCTAGCCCACATAGATGAGTGAATTTCTTTAGCTATTTCAAAAACACTTAGGATTGGAGGGACATAGGAATAATTCACTCTATAGGAGATTATTAACCTGCCTACATAGATATTGACAAGGAAAAGTCATAAGTAAATAAAGTAGAAACTAGGATCCAGTGGGAAAAAGGAGAAAGGAAACCAGATTTACTCTGATCCCTGTAGTAAAGAGAACATTAATTAGAATTTTAACCTCAGGTTACAAGATAAATAAAGGGGATAATTTCGCATTCCTCTCTTTTCTCAGGATGGGTCAGAGGGGATGTCCATTATGATACTACATGGACCTGGCCTTGGATTATTGGATTGATTTTGGAATAGATGCAGAGATTTAAGTTTATGCCAGGGCAGATTTGGGGATTTTGCCTAAAGCAAATTCAGATTTGTTATTGACTCCCTAGCTGATCCAAGAGATAATCAGATGGCCAGGATGCTCTGGTAAATGTTTTACAAGAGGTTCTCTGAAAAGAATCTCAATTATTAGCATTTTCTTTGTCACTTTCTTAAGTCTGGACTGTCAACAAAACAATTAATCAAGCTAAAATGTAAATGTTCACACTGAAAAGTTAACAGTCTGTTGGGTTATAAGCTGGCTCCACCATACTCCCAATATCAGGTCACAGAATCTTTAGATTGGAAAGACCTTTAGTATCCTTCTAGTGAGACTATACCTGAACAAGACTCCACTCTTTAGCATGCTCAACAAATGATTGTTCAGCCTTTGATTCTGAGTGATAAGCATTATGTGTATTTACTCCATTATTTTTCCTAACCTTCAGGGTTTAGTCTGTTTTAGGTGTGGGTAGTAGTGAGATGAAATACATCTTTTTATTTGAAACATACTTTAAGTCCTGAAGTTGGCAACTTAATACAATTTTATGATTTTATTTTACAAATGTAATCTGTCATTTTGGCAGTGAATTGATGAAGTTTGTTATGAGTGAGTATGCCCATCTTTCTGTCATTAGAGAACTAAAGTACCATGATAAATCTACAGATAGTCCTCAAAACAAACATTAGGCAATACCATAGAGGTCTGTTATAGTGTACCTTGTTATAATAGTCATCAATCTAGAAACTTTAGGGTACAGTTTTTATGGTGAAACTTTAAATGTTAACTGGTTGTTACTTGTAGAGAAAGGCTTCTAAAATAAAATTGCTTCCTTGCCTTCTCAAAGTATTGAGGTGCAAGTGGTTGTTTACCACTCACCCTGTCTTTTTGTTGCCAGATCTATTCTCTACTATCAGACTAACTACTGCTTACTGCTCTAATGTAATAATATTTACTTTCTAGAACACTTGATATTTAACTAAGGATTTTATTTACACCAATCCTATGACATCGGTAATGCAAATAATATTATTCCCATTTTTTAAAAAAATCAGTTCGAAGCTGAGGTAAAATGACTTTCAAGCAAGGAACAATTAGTAATTGTTAAAATCTGGATTTGAACCCAAGTCTTCTGATTCTAGGCTTGCAAACTTTTGGCAGCTTTTTTCATTTATTGCTCCCTTCTCTCTTCTCTCTCTACATTTCTGTTTGTTCTTGTGTTCTTATTGGTTCATTCCAGTAGAACTGAAGCTCCTGTGGCATTTTTGTCTTTATTTCCTGTTTACCTTTCACAGTATGTTGGACATAAGAGTAGGCCTTTAAAAAGGTTTGAATGGAATTGAAATCTCTTATCTAACTGTATCAGATATAGTCTTAGACTCAAAGACTGTCAGACCTGAGAGAGACTTTAGAGATTAAGGTGGTCAGCCTTCTCCTTTTACAAATGAGGAAACTGAAATCCAGAGCCATTGCAGACACTTGGACATGGGTCTGTTACCTCATCTATGTGGTGGGAGATGGGAATTTGACTTTAGACTTCCTGATGTCTGTGTTCTAAAGAGGTCCTACTGTGATTGACATTTTGTACTTTTATCATTGAGAAGCAGCATGGCAAGAGTGTGGAGAGCTACCTTAAAGTCAAGAAGACCTGGGTTTCAAGGTCCTTACAAGCTGTGAGTCCTTGGGCAAGTCACTTCATCTCTTCATCTGTAAAAATAAGGAAGTTGAGCTCCAAAACCTCCAGCTCTAGATTACTGCTCTAAAGATGTAATCCTATGATAAGAATTGTTTTTTTTGTTTTGTTTTTTGCTTACACCTTTAGAAAAGACATGATATTTAGTAAAATGTCCACAAAACCAGCAGCACAAAGGAAAGCAATGGCATGTGGATGGTTTTTATAGCTGGTCTGTCTAGAACTCAGGGAGTAGAATTGGGATTTCCTGATTATTGAAAGGAAGATGGTGAATTAGGTTCAGTGAACTCTGAGAAGTAACTGAAACTTTTTTACTAATATTGTATCTTGCAAAAAGTCTAATCTTGTTTTTTTTTTAAAGTCTTGAAGGTGAGGGTACAAGAAGACTGGGTTTTCTTTCCAATTTTGTGTCTTGATTATGTGACCTTGAACTTTGTTCCCTTCTTTGGGTTTTAGTTTCCACATCTGTAAAATGAGGATGTTGATTTTGGAGGATGTCTTCCAATTCTAAAATTCTATTGATAACATGAGTGAATTTTCTTAGGAGAAACAGAAGAGACAAGAAAGGAAGTAGGGTAATGCAAAGGAAGGGAGGGGAGGTGTTATGTAGAACTTGATACAAGAATTTGGTTCTGCTCCTGAAGGCAAAGAAAGAATCCTTTAAGTGTACAAGTGATGCCTTGTGATAAGGCAAGCAGTCTGTGAAGCATTTTGTCAGCAACTTTGTGGACCAGCTAGAAAAGAATTTGTAAAACATCAGGTGAGAATTGCTCAGAACCTAGATTTAAAAATATTTAAGTGGAATTCTCTCTCTTTAGATTTAGCATACTTCCTTGATGTTTTAAATGTTCTTAAAATACATTCTTTCCCTCTTCATGTTTCTTTCTGTCATCAAAGTCTTGCACTGCCTTGGAGGTTAAGCTAACTTCACTTTTTTTCACAAAGCCTTTTCTGCCCTAGCCCATGGTGTTTATGTACTAAATAATCTTCTGCCATATAATAATGCCCTAACCCTAACCATGGTTTTCCCTCATGGTTCTGTCCTGGGTCCTCTTCATCAACTTTCATGGCTTCAATTACTATCTCTTTCTAGATGACTCCCAAATCTATATATCCAGCCCTAATCTCTCTCCTGAGCTCTCGACCTTCACTACCAACAGCTTGACTGACATTTCTACCTGGACCTTCCATGGGTGTCTCAGATTCTACATGTCTAAAATATACCTCATAATCTTGCTCCTGAAATATCTCCCTCCCCCAGACTTCCCCATTTCTCTTTGTGGCCATAGTTGCCCAGGTGGTCAGCCCTGGAGTCATCTTTGATTCTTCATTCTTTCCCATATCTACTCAATTACTTTTATAGCATTTCTCACAACTGCCCCCTATCTCTGCTTTTATCACCAACATCCTAATTCAGACTCTCAACCCTTCTTGTTTGGACTATTTCAGTAATTTGCTAATTGGTAATTGGTCTGTCTACTTTTAGTCCCTCCCCTTTCCAATCTATCATTGACATGTCTGCCAAAGTAATCTTTCACAAGCTTGAGTATTACCATGTTTTTCTTCTGTTCAGAATGTTTCTGGGACTCTCCTTTGCCTCTAGATAAAATGCAAGCACTTTACATTGACATTTAAAACCTTTCACAATTAGACTCTAGTCTACCTTTCCAAAATTATTCATCTTACTCCCATTCACACATTCAGCATTCTACTCAAGGTCTGGCCTCCTTGCTGCCCCCAGAACTGGACATGCCATTTTCCACTTGCCTTTGTATGGGTTGCCCCCCATCCCTGAAATGCATTTACCTCACCTCTGCCTCTTACAGGCCTTAATTTCTTTCAAGGCACAACTCAGATGCTAACTCCTGGGGAAATCTCTGATTTCCAAGTTGTTAGTGCTCTCTCCCTCCTCAAATTAACTCATTTGTACTTCATCTGTTTACATGTTGTATTCACCCAGTACTTAGCACACTGTGCCTTGCACATAGTAGGTGCTTTCATAAATGTCTGTTGAATTGAATCTAGCTTCATTCAGCATGTATCCAGGAACATTCAACTATGTGCATAATAATACTCTGCTAAGTGCTCAATCATATATTGCCTTATATTGTTCTCTAGTTGCTTCATCTGTGTACTATGTGTCTTTCCTAATTAAAGTGTAAGTTACTCTGTAAGAGCTTGTTGACTGTTCTTTCTGTTTTGTCACTTTATTTTTCTATAGAGCTTTCATTGTTGAGGTTCCTCAGTGCTGAACTAACAAGAGGGTACTTCCTTGAACATAATGAGGCAAAATATACAGAAAGAAGAGAGAGAGTATACACATGTATGCGAATACCAAGAGAACTGGAAAAGGTATCGTATTTTTTTTTTTTCATTAAAAACAGACTTATTTTTGAAATGTTACTCATGTCAAAATGTTAGTCATATAAAAGTTCTTCAGAACAAACTTGACATATGTTAAAGATAATGGGTATAATGTTATCTCAAAAGTCAAAAGAGCATGAATTCTAGAATAAAGAGAGAATATTGAAGTTATATTTTTAGTATAATCAGAGTTCTAGTGATAGAATACTGATAGGTTTAATGAAAGATTGTTCTCTAATTTAAAAAAATTATCCCATTTGACCTTATCTCCCAATAAATTTTTCAAAGGTATTCATCCCTTTTTCTGTTTTCTTTTTAACTCTCCATTTTGGTTTGCTAAAAGAGACATTTTATTAAGTAGCTCAGTTTTCCATCATTCAGAATTTGTAACTTGTAGTCTATAAGGAAGTAATTATAGAACATGAATTATCTATTTCAAAATAGTCAATACAGATTTATTAAGCACCTACTGTGTCTCAGGTATTGTACTGTGCTGTGCTGTGCTGGGCTAAGTGCTGAGGATACAAAGCAAAACAAAAGACAGTCCCTGCCCTCAAAGGAGCTTACAGTCTATTGGGATATCCAGCACACAAAAAGAAGCTGAAAATTAGGGGGGTGGGGGTGGGAAGTGCGAAGAGAGGAAGAGTAACTGGCCCAGGGGCAGATGAAGTTTTGTAACTAGGTGTGAAATATTGGGATGTCTGCCCTGGGCTGCCTCCTAAAGTAGACAATCTAGGTGTAGATCTCTGATATCTGCCCTCTACCTTCTCTTATCCAAGGTAAGGAAATATTTGAAATATTTTATTTATAGCCCCCACCTATCAAAAAAACCTATATATTGAAAAAAAAAATTTCTATCTGTTCCTCTGGGGTAATGGAGTCTAATAGAAAATGAATGGGTTTTGGCTGGCCTTCTTAAAAGAAAACACCAACCTCAAATCTGGAGGGAAATCCTATCATCTATCCTTTGCTTCCTCTATCTGTAGCAGGCTTAGCATCCTTTAATACTTTATTCCTTTTCACATATTTTATTCTCCTGATCACTTTTTTGATGTAACCTAATGGAACCAAATCAGATCTGGTAGGAAAGCAGTTGTCATTTCTCTAGTTGCTAACTAAAATAATAGGTGCTAAGCTATAGGTGCCTTATAAATCCCTGCAGCTAGGCCTCATCTTCTTGGATTCCTTGTTAGAGTGAAGAGATAAAGAAGTAACTTAAATTTAACTTCTGAATTGAAGTTAGTGGACTTGAAAGCTTCCAATTAAAAATTGCTAGATTGAAAAGTTACCCTTCAATATTTTTGTTTTGATGGTGAACTTCAAAATGTTTAGCTTTTCACTTTAGTTATTTAAAATATAAAAATATTGTCTTAATAGACTAGGAATCATAAAACAATTTTGTTTTACTTTCTGGAAGTTTTACAATGAAAAAGTCATGATTCGAAAGGATACATTGCCTTATTCCTATCCCTATACTTCAGCTGGGCTAATGATCTGTACTTCTGACAGAAAGTAGTTTTGGGAAAATAGAGACCAAAACTCATTCTTGTTTTGTAATATGTTTTTGATGACAGTTTTTTTGAAGAACGGCTCAGAAATATGCTTAAAAATGGCCTGAGGAAGGGGCTATCAGAGAATAGAACATTTCAGATAATACTGGAGGGCATGAAGACATTTTCATTTGAATGAGATTTTTAAAATTTTTTTAGGAGCTTGCAAATAAGCAAGGCAGTTAGATGGTTCAGGGGATAAAGTGCTGGACCTGGAATCAGGAAGACCTGAGTTCAAATCCAGCTGCAGACACTCATCTAGCTGTGTGACCCTGAGCAAGTCACTTAACCTCTGTTTGCCTTAATACACTGGAGAAGGAAATGGCAAACCAGTGTCTTTGCCAGGCATACCCCATTTGGGGTCTTGAAGAATCTGAAACAACTGAACTACAATCAGACACAACTGAAACAACTGAACTACAATCAAAAGCAAATAAGCAAGTAGTTGAGTGAAGAGTAATATGAAAGAATATGTGATCTAACAAGATTTTTATCAAGGTCATAGAGAGCTAATTCATTCACTATTGATAAGCCTCATAGGCTATTGTGTCAACTGCTTAAAAGACAGATACATACTGCAAATCATATTTGTTTAATATATATAAAAAGAGTTATTTCTTTTAAACTACAATACAACATTTCCTTTTGGAGTTTCATTAAAAAAATTTAATCTTGTACTCCAAGAAAAGCAGAAGCTTAGTTAAGGCTTTTGCTTCACAGTGGTGTGATTTTAGTTTTAGAAACTTTTGATACAATGAACTGGAAATCAATATTGTATATATTGTTTTAGGATTTTTTCTTCACTGTTATGTATTTAAATTTGCAACTTTAATATGGTAGTAGAGTTTTTTTGCATGTGACAAAATGCTAACCTTGATCTTTTTAAAGAAAATAAGACTTTATGTAAAAACTTAAAGGAAAAAACTTTGCTGTTGCAGATCTCTCACTCTACATCACTAGCATGTTTACTGTATAAACCAAAAGAAAAGGGCACTTGATTGTTCTTACCAATCCAGTTTATTAATGGTCACATTTTTAGAACTTTCTTCTAGTGTAATAATTGGATAATACCTAATGCCAACATAAATATTTAGCAAAATCAACTGAAAATAATATTTTAATATTGTACTTATTTTTATTTCAATCTTCATAGCACTTTACTCTAATATTTTAATTTCCTTTTTTTTTGTTGTGAAAAACTAAGTATATTTCCCTTAATCCTATCCTGCCCCCATTTATTCTATTCTCTCTTTTGACCCTGTCCCTCCTTAGAAGTGTTTGCTTCTGATTACCCCTTCCCCCAATCTGCCCTCCCCTCTATCATCCTCCTGCTCTCTTGACCCCTTACCCCCCATTTTCCTGTAGGATAATAGATTTCCATACCTAATTGAGTGTGTATGTTATTCTCTGCTTAAGCCAGATCTGATGAGATTAAGATTCACTCATTCCTTCTCACCTTTCCTCATTTCCCCTCCACTGTAAAAGCCTTTTCTTGTCTGTTTTATGTGAGATAATTTACCCATTCTACCTCTCCCTTTCTCCTTCTCTCCGTATAATCTCTCACCCCTTAATTTTATTCTCCAGATATCACCCCTTCATCTTCAACTCACCCTGTGCCCTCTTTTTATCTATCTATCAATCTATCTATCTTTCTATCTACATACATATAATTTTTTTCCCTCCAACTACTCAAGGACTCATGAGTTACAAATATCATCTTTCCATGCAGGAATGTAAACAGTTCAACCTTAATAAGTCTCTTATGATTTCTCTTTCCTGTTTACCTCTTCATGTTTCTCTTAAGTCTTGTATCTGAAAATCAAATTTTCTATTCAGCTCTGGTCTTCTCATCAAGAATGCTTGAATTTCACTGAATGTCCATTTTTCCCCCTGAAGGATTACACTCAGTTTTGCTGGGTATTTTAGGTTGTAATCCTATCTCCTTTGCCCTCCGGAATATCATACTCTATGCCCTCCAGTCCCTTAATGTAGAAGCTGCTAAATCTTGTGTTGTCCTGATTATGTTTCCACAATACTTGAATTGTTTCTTTCTGGCTGCTTGCGATATTTTCTCCTTGACCTGGCAACTCTGGAATTTGGCTACAATATTCCTAGGAGTTTTGCCTTGGGGATCTCTTTAAGAAGATGATCGGTGGATTCTGTCCTTTTCTATTTTGCCCTCTGGTTCTAAAATATCAGGGCAGTTTTCCTTGATAATTTCTTGAAAGATGATGTCCACATTCTTTTTGTGATCATAACTTTCAGATAGTCCAATAATTTTTAAATTATCTCTCCTGGATCTATTTTCCAGGTCAGTTGTTTTTCCAATGAGATATTTCACATTGTTTTCTAATTTTTCATTCTTTTGGATTTATTTTACAATGTCTCGATTTCTCATAAAGTTACTAGCTTCTAATTGCGCCATTCTAATTTTTAAGGAAATATTTTCTTCAGTAAACTTTTGGACTTCCTTTTCCATTTGGGCAATTTTGCTTTTTAAGGCATTCTTCTCCTCATTGACTTTTTGGACCTCTTTTGCCATTTGGGTTAGGCTGTTTTTTAAGGTGTTATTTTCTTCAGTATTTTTTTGGGTCTCCTAATAATATTTTAATTTTCTATACTAATTTGATAATAGTTTCTCCCTTCCCTCCACTAAAATCAGTGAGGCAAGGGGGAAAATGTCTGGAATCAAGGTTCTGGAGACCAGCTTTCTAGTTTTGGTCCTACCTCTGAGTAGTTGTATGACCTTAGGACTTCTTCATTTGTGAAAATGAGTGAATTGGATTTTATGATCTCCACAGTTCCTTTTATCTATTGCTTAGTTGTTTTTCAGTCATGTCAAACTCTTCATAATCCCATTTGGGGTTTTCTTGGCAAAGATACTGGAATGATTTGCCATTTCCTTCTCCAGCTCATTTTACAGATGAGGAAACTGAGGCAAACAGGGGTAAGTGATTTGCCCAGAGTCACACATCTAGTAAGTGTCTGAGGCCAGATTTGAACTCAGGAAGATGAGTCTTCCTGACTCCAGGACTGATACTCTAACCACTGTACCACCATAATCCTCTACTGGCAGTTCAAGGAGAGAATAGTTGCTCTATGAGGAGTTGAACATTTTTAAATGCTGGGATTTGAGACATATTTCAACTGTTCCATGTTCTTCACCTGTAAGTTTTGTACATCTCTCTCCCTCCTCCTGAAGGTTATGGGGATGAAGCAAAGGAAAAAAAAAGGTATAGAAGGTACAGATAAAGATTTAATACCTTCTAACCTGAAGTGACTAAAATACTTTATTTTTGTTACTTATTGAAGAAAGTTTTGCACAAAACTTATGCTTGATTTTTTTTTTTGTTGTAACCTAAGGTCTGCCCTGGGTCAGCTCTGTGTATTTATTCCTATATATATTTACCTCAATAGCTGTTCCCTTTCTTTCCTTAG